GTCGACTATGCTCGAACAGGGCTGCTTGCATGTTTGTTTGGTTCACGAGAGGCCACATCTCTGAGCTTCGAACACCCGCCGCTCAGGTGCTTTGGTGCACCACAGGAGCCAGCAGAGACTTCGACTAGTGGACAAAGCCGTGTGACTCTGCAGTCAGGTGAGAACAGTACAGGGCGGGCAGGGCAGACAGAAAATAGGCTTGTAGCTGCGGCCAGCGTGGGGATATCGCGACTCTCCTTTCTAAGGCACCTCGCATGCTTAAAGGGAGGTGGTCTGAGACCGACCAATGTTAGTGGACCTCCTGGAGCGGATGCACATCATAAAATCTTACACAGTTGCGGGAACAGCAGCAGATCCAGCTCGGCCAGCTGCATGTGCACACCATCCCTGATTCCTAAGGGGTGCGCCATGTTACCCTCCTGAGTCGACTTTCCTCGAAGCACAATTTCAACATCACGTGCAGTTGATCCGGGGTCTTCGGCAGCTGCGGCATGTTGCTCTCATAGAGTCGACCGTCGCAACTCCAGCAGGTTGATTCAGATGTTCACTCTGCCGTGTAGAGCCCTTCATTGTCGACTATGCTCGAAGAGGGCTGCTTGCATGTTTGTCTGGCCCACGAGAGGCCACGTCTCTGAGCTTCGAACACCCGCCGCTCAGGTGCTTCGGTGCACTGCAGGAGCCAGATGCACCAGAGACTTCGACTAGCGGATAAAGCTGTGTGAGTCTGCAGTCAGGCAGGAACTGGGCGGATAGAACTTAGGTTGGTAGTTGAGGCAGCGGCCAACGTGGGGATGTCGCAACTCTCCGTTTCGCACTTCTGGTTCTCCCGACGATGCCGGCTGAGACCAGCCAATGTTGGCGGGGGTTCTGTTGAAGAATCTTCACATCGCCGTAGAATCGTACCCAGCAAGTTCAAGGGCAGGACTACGCTTTTGTCAGAACCGTGAGCAAATGGCCTGACGCTAGTCAGCTCCCACCGGCACACCGGTGCATCCTCGGCAGAGGCTCTTAATCCATAGGCAGCCTCGGCTCAGCTCCAGCACATCACCTACACCGCTGGCGAGGCAGGCGAGCTCCGTGAGCCGCAAGACCAAGCCTTGAGGAGCCATCGCCTGTCAAGGCGTACTCGCCGGCCGCAAGTCGCCTCCCCTCTGAGATCCTCGGAGCCCACGGTCGTCTGCATATCTGGTCCCAAAGTAACACTGCTCCGCCAGCTCTCACAGTGAGATGCCGACGGCTATCACAATGAGGTTACATGTTGAGGCACATGCTGAACTCGATTACACGTGCCTCGCCATGCTGGCCATTTGCAGGGGTCTGTTGCAGGCGTGGTCGACTAATCTGTCACCGGGAGTCCCAGAGCTGGCGGCGACACTGCATTTTGTGCCGACCAGGAGCTCCGTTCTGCGTTGTGCGAGGCGCAATGGAGTTTGGTCGGTCACGCTGGCAGTGCCCGGTTCTCGATGCAATGACAGGATGCCAAGCCAGTCCGGCGGACGTGTCAGTGCATGCAGTGCAGTTTGTTCCCAAAGATTGCGCATGGCCATGGGTTTTGCGCAATCTGTGCCTGTTTTGAGTCAAGGCAGTCAGAGGTGCCGCAGTCGCATACGCCATAAGGGCCACGCAGCCAGTTCGTGATGCTGACATGGGCATCCTGAGGATTCTTTGTGTGAGTGAGGCAGCAACTCCGGCACAGCTCTGCCAGGCCATGTAACTTGCAGCAGGCGGCCGTCTCTGTCCATCTCGCTCCAGTCAGGTACAAGTCTGAAGGTGTCCTCAACCTGCACATGCAAGGCATTGTGCCTCGATGAGCAGCTAGCAGCTATTATCTGCCAAAGCTCCAGGCACGGCTGCTGGCAGGGGCCGGCAGCACAACACGCTGACGGAAAACCCTCGCCTCTCGCAACCCGAGACGCTCTCCACCTTTCGAAACAACATCTTCATAGAAGTGCGGTCCCGAAATTGAAATTCGAACTCGGACTCGGGACATGTGCGGACTACCTGAAAAGGCCACGACGGTTCGGAGTATCGTGCTTCCAGCTTTGGCAGATGTGAGCTGATAGCCGCTCAGCAACTTCTGGTCGGCCTGGCTGGACGAAGACTTGCCGAGGTAGTTTGAACGACCTGTCCTCCTGTTTCAATGTCCGGGCTCGCGTCTGGATCAGCACATCGTGTCGGCCGCTGCCGCCAGCAGCTGAAAAGTTGCATGCTTCCTACCTGAACCTTCAATATGTTGCTGCCGTCCCTTTTTCAGTCCATCTGGGCTGGAATGTCGAGAAAAGTTTGCCTGCCAGGCCGGAATGCAGGATCGTCCATCCCGAACGCAGTGGGCACACGTTCGACTCGGTGCACTTGTTCGGAGACGCTGAGGACGCGCGTGATGCATTAGTGGACTGCGCACTCGCAGCATCCTCGCAGGAGTACAGACGACGGCCTGCATGCCTCGGAGAAGCCGCGGCCACTGGGTTCCGGGCATCAGGGAAGCTCCCGGAAATGAGGTGAAACTCAGGATCCTCAGGCCGCCGCCGCCCTGGATCCGCTTCCATATGTGTCCCTGCACGTGCCGACTTGGGCAGTGCGATGGCTTCTGGCCCAAGTGCCGACTGACAATGATCCGGCTTGCGGATTCCTGCTTGCGCGACGCACGCAGTGTTGGCTCGGAGCGAATATTCCGAGGATTGCACCCGGTTCGCGATGTGTTGCTGGACTGCCCACTTGCAGATTACGGGCATGGGCAAGGGCTGCGCCAGAGAGCATGCTGTGAAGGTCAGGCTCCGGGCTGCAGAATGCACGCCTGCATCTTTCGACTTGGGCCGAGTGTCCGGCAGACGAATCGCGGGCAACAGTTTTTAGTTGGCTGGGCAGCCTCTCCAGTCCCTCCACGGCACCATCTTGGCATTCCACTATGCCGCACTGAGCGAACCTGCGGCCAAACAAATGGCCTTGGGGCTGCAGCGCGGAGTCGGCATGGTTTGGACGCAGACCTGGGCTTGATCTGGTAGCTCTTGAAGCTGCCAGGCTTTGCGTGGCTGGTAGCTCGTGCGACCGCGTTTCCAACGTGGAGAACACCAGGTCATACCGGCTCCAGCGTGTCCGGCATGCGCCGCTTTTTCTCCTGGGAGTTTGGTGAAGCTTGGG